AGTTTGGTTTACGAATTGAAGGTTCAGTTTTATAAACCGAAAATTCAGTTTGACAAACCGAATTAGTTGGGATGATATGGAACATCGAACTTTGGTACAACGACCGAACTTTTTTTTCAGTGCAAAATGCCCCGACCCTCCTAAGACAATACAAGGGCTCTTAGCGAAAACACTTTATCGTGCAAATCTACCTTTTTGTATGCACCGGACTTTGGCTACTTATTAAATTCCGGAATTGACGGGTGCAACACCAAAGCTAAGAGACAAGTGGCCCGTTTTTCATGAGGATGAGACAAAGAACCTTACTCAGTATCTTCGAGAAAGAGCCAACGTTACCCGCGCAGAGAAAATTACTGGTTTACACTGTTGCAAATCATCGTAATTTAATCAAGTATTCGCTTTACCGTAACAAGAAGATGTAAAGCGATTGCACGGACAAGTATTTCCGTAGATAGTATTTCCGTATATTCCGTAGAGACAAGTATTCCGAGAGGAAACCTATTTCTCTCTCCGATGATATTTATACAGTACAACCTAGCCAGGAATCTCACTATTGAATCTCAAAATGAATACTTGCACAAACGCAAACCTGCAGGCCGATTATTGAAATTGATGGACAAAGCTGTAGACAAAGAAGACATGGGGAGTATGGAGCGATCCTATTGGTTGAAACGAGTGGTTTCTTTAGACAAAGTGAGAAAATGATAGACTAACTGTCGGGTCTCTCGTGGGTTGCCGTTAGTTAGTCTATTACCTACCTCCTTTGTCCATTGCAACCAACCGCTTCCACCAATAGGATCGCTCCATACCTCTTTTGTCTCCTTTGTCTATACCCTTGTCTATCAATTTCAATAATCAGCCTGCAGCTCCTATATCTTTGTGAAACACTTTCTTAACTTTTAAATTGAGAAATATTTTTCGTAAAAATGACGGCGACTTAGTCTTTTTTAAATTTATCTATATTGCAAAATCATGTTAAATGTGAAGTATCAGAAACAAGGATCTGCACAATTTCATTAGACCTCATGGCTTTTTGTACTAGGTTTAATATTTTAATTAACACATACAGTCACAGTTCGTCTGAGCGTTCTACTGGGCCGATTTCCATGATTTCTAAGGCTGTCGATAGGTGACGGTCCCTAAATGAGCCCGCTCTTATCAGACTTTGGAAATAGGACCCAAGTTTTTTTTACATAAGAGTAGATCAGGAACCTTAGAAAGAGGGGAAAAGTTTGAAATTCCCGCGAATGAAAAATGACGGGAATTTCAAATTCAGCGTAAAATTGAACGAAGCGGGAACTGTTGAATCTTAGTCTGTTACGAGGGGGGGGGGTGAATAGACGGTATGCTACTTTGCTACAGGCTATTCAAAAGCGACGAAACGCTCCGTTCCGTTCGTTTTGCTTTGTTTCGTTTCAGGCTTGGCGTGAAGTTTAAATGCCAATTTTTTTATTAGATTTTTATTGGTCCAATCACTCCAGGCCAGATGGAGATTGGACAAATGAGAGTCGAGTATGAAAATATATTCATTTTTTTTGTCAAAATGGGCCTAAGAGAGCGCGAAGCGCCCTCTGGGGATTGGACTGCATAGCCTCCTAACTTTGGCGCTTGAAACTAACGCAGAATCGAGTGTATATTTCTTCATAATTTTCTAAAAAAAAATAAAAAAAATAAATTCATTTCCCAAAAAATCAATGGAGGGACATTGTTCGGCCTATAATGTTTTCTTCCATCCTTCAATTACTTTAGAACCCTGGCGTTGCTTAATGCCCCTGTTTTTTTCTGCTGGAGAACTCCACCCTCAGACTCCCTCAAGGTAATGAGCTGGTTAAAGTCCGAAGGCGCACCGTAGACTTGTACCTATCCTGAATAATCAGGCACTGAAGACACTTTTCTCGGTAGCACGGCTCTGTAGATGAAGAGCATAAATAAAAGAATGAAAATACCGAGTATTATTCGATTTGACAGCCTGCGAAAAGATGAAGAGGATAATTCATCATCCCGAAGAGAAGTTGCGAACGCGTAGAGACAGTAGCGTGAAATATGCACGCCGCAAAAAACAGCGCGGGTCAGATAGTTTGAACCCCTATTCGCTAATCGATGGATGACAACGACGGTTGATCTGATCTGTTCTGAAAGTTCGAACTTTTTCTCACAGAGTTTAAATATTCATTCACAAAGGGTACCTACTGCCTGCATTCTTCATCGTTCTCAGTATCTTATTAGTTGTTGCAAAAACTTAACTTGGGTACAAACCACTCAACGCCATTGAAACATTTTTATTTCGTCCAAAGTCGTCTCGAACATGCTTCAAAAGTTTTGATTGTTTTATAAAGTTTTGCTCCGCAAAACAAGATTGTGCCACTGACATGGACACCCTCTAAAATCAACTTCCTAACTCAAAAAAAGTTTGCAAAGTTCAGGTCGTAATAATTGAAAGTTGCCTATTTTACTGGTGTACTGGAGAGTGTATCGTGCTCTCCATGCAGAGATAAGGTTGAATGCATCGAAAGAGCTGTCCAGATTTTGAAAAAAAAAAAAAAATTAGATCGATTAATTCGGAAAGCCCCTGCAGCCCATAACTTTATAACCTGTTGATCAGTCACATTTTGAAGTTATTGTCAAGATTGTCAAAATATCATAAAAGTCAGTTCTAAATAGGAAATGTTTCAACAGTTATTTTTAATAATGTTCACGGCTGTCTTTAAAAAAGGAATGTGCAATTATTCCGAGATTATTCTCAAGTAATTGTAAGTAAATATTTGGATCAATTACTCCGATACAATTTAAATGATTTTAGAAAACTGAAAATCAGAAAACAATATTTTTAAGAAAAATGACAAAAAAAGACTTTAAAATTTTTCAAAATATTAACAATTTTGTTGAATACAACATTACGACAATCTCACAATTTTTTTTAAATATTTTTTTTAAAACAATCGTTATAAAATGTGTTTTTTAAATATTTTTTTTTAAATTTTAGGAGTATTTTCAGTTTTATCGAGTTCTTGTCCGATCAGCCCATAATTGCGATATTCCTTCCCAGACGTTTCTGCGTTGTAGTGAGCATTAAGCGATAATTTTCAAGCGTGAAGTGTCCGTTCTTGATTAGATTGCAAACCGGGCAGGACAACCGGATATTCGGGCGAGGGAGCTCAACTGCTCGCTAGCCCGGTCGATTAGGTATGCGCGAAAAACGAGAATCAGCTCGGTGTATCGCCCCAGAATACCGCGACACCGTAAAATTCCTGAATTCTCGCCCAGTCAATGCGATCAAGCAGCTCCTGACTCCAGTTATACGATCGAGTTATTCTCTCATACTGTATTTTCTTAACTTCAATCCGTCGTGTCATTAAAAAGTCTCTAAAGTACCCGTTGTCTAATCCGAAGAGCATTCTGTTCGGACAGAAAGAATATTCGAATGAGAATTAGCGTTTAGGTATCGGTAGTGGTTTTGTGGCTACGCGTTTTTACGGTGCGCAAAAGTGTATAAGCGGAGGTATGAAGTGTTATTGTCTAAAGAAGATTACTCTATGAGCTTCCTCCGAGGCTGGACTTTAATGGAAGCTTGCGGTTCAAACTGTGAATAAAATACTCGTGTGTGGTGGAACAAAGTTGCGAAATGGTGAAAAAAAAAGGAAGTGCAATGAACCCCTCGGAAACATAAAACTTCGTAAAATATTACAAACGTACTATTGGATTCTGCAGTTTGGGGAGAATTCTTGAGTGAGGATACGACTATGCGTGGTTTGAGACATTTCATAGAGAAAGGCGTTTCAAAAATGAATGGACATTTTCAAAATTGGTTCCGCGTCTCCTTACGGACTACTCACTTTTCGCCACCTCACGGTAAAACGGTCAGTGAAGTGTAAAAAATACGTGTAAAAAGAGATAACTTTTACAGTTCATGAATGCAGTTTTGCAACATAGCGACTTAAACATGGACCACGTTTAGCGGAAAGGAACCAAGCCACATCAGTTACTGTCAAATTTAAGTGAGCAATTTAATTTTTTACAAGCGCACGTTTGTGCGGATTTCTTCAAATATTTCAAGGAATTTTCTTCGTATTATACGTTAAATTCACTGAAATTTTCACAAAAATCCGCACTATCGCTTTTATGTAAAAAATTGAATTGCCCAGATAAATTTGGCAATGGCTGATGTGGCATGGTTCCTTCCTGTTTAAGGCAGTCCATATAGAACATTTTAATTATGCTGGGATTGTGCAATTCAGTGGCGATTTTTGCAAAATGGCAATACTGTTTTTATGGCAATAACAGTCACGTACACAATACAAACACATGACACACACAAACATAACACATAATCATGATCGCACATGATTCATAATAGCACATTGAAATATCTTGTCATAGTAAATAGATCATATTTACCAGAGAAGAATCGGCTTGATTACAATGCTTTTAATAAAGTCATGAATCTCCATCTAGAAAATTCATAGAATACCAAAAGGGTTTTGTTTTTCTACCAAAAGAATAAGATTTTAAAAGAGAAGTGATTGTGTCAATGTTATTGCTGCACATACATTGAGCCAATACATTAAGCCAATGAGAGGTTGCACAGTTTCAGAAACACTATAATTAAGCTGGTTCCCTTTTATTGTATACAGGCAAATGATACACAATGTCCTTGATCAGTGTTTGCTCGTATTTTTTGCAGGTTTTTTATCGTGCAAAATACTTAGAATTAGACATGACGGAATTTATTTGTAAACATCTTTTTTTTCCCATTCCGCGAGGTGTATCAATAATTACAAATTATTCCTGAGATTCGATTAAAATAATAAACGAAATTGTGAAACTTCTTCTGAAAAATGACGAGATGCACCCGTACATTAACCAGACTACATTTTTTCAAATGCATTTTAGAAGTATGCATCAGGAAAAAGCAGATGCGATGGGATGTATGCACGCGCACTACCTATTCTGCACAACTGAATACTCATAGGTTTTTCTCAATTCATTCGTTCGCAGAAATGTTGTAGCTGAATGAAACGGGGTCCATACGATGTACTCTGCAACTTTACCTGGATGGCAGTCCTCTTGCTTTGCGTCTCTTGTTGCAGTCGCATTGACACTGTACAATAGACTTCTCCCAGACCCCGGTTCTCAACTGCAGGATGTTCAACAGGTAACAAATAGGGCAATTAGTCAACATTCAGCGAAAGCGAGACTCCAGAAGTTTCAAATTACCTCTTCCGTTCTCACACGGAAGTAACATAATCATGAGAGTAGGCTTTTTTCATGACATGATCTTTTATGATATTATCTTTTCAAAATTTCCAAGCTGTAATCCATTTGAATTATATTACTTCGTGCTAAGAAAGGAGACTAATCAACTATCTCCCGTTAACCGATTAATTTTTAAAAAATGAAGAAATATGTAAATAAAAAGGAAGCGACTTTCGGTAAATAAAAACAGAGAATAGTTAATTGGCAGAGTACAATTCCTTCATACTTTCAATGTTTTCCGAAGTAGTTTCGCATCAACAGAGTGCATTAGAGACACGCTATGAATGATTCAATCACCATATTTTTTCTTCAGACGTCAAACATATCACACAAGCCAAAAAAATTGAAAACTATCAAAAGAGGTGAGAGCCAACGAATTTTGTTGCAAAAAAATTAACAACGTCATCAGCTAGCACCTCAAACAAGAGTTCGTTTGGGGGCTTTTAAATGATGAACACGTTTTCTAGGTAATAATATTTTTTAATAGTAGAGTTTTTATACCAACTCATTGGCACATTCTCTCTCATTTTCCTCATAAAAAACTAATCAACGTGGTTCTTTGAGAACTTCCATGAATTATAGGTTCTCTGCGTAAAAAGCATTCTGTGAAAATTATACGAGGACTGTTATTCATTTGCTCGCCGGTAGAGACAGATAGTGAGAGATGAGATTCTGAATCATCTCAATTGGGATACGTGTTCATAATTTCACCGTCGATTTTTTTATGATAACGCCCATGCAAATCCAACCATCACCAGATACTTACCTACAGTACCTATATAGTGAGGGTACGGAAATTTCAAAATATGGAGCTCTCAGGGCCGAAAAGGGCAACCAACACACAAAAATGCCTTTGCCAATCTCCAAATTCCAATATTAAACCAAGACGGCCATGAATGTTCATAAATTAGCGTTATTCCGCCAAAATGAGTGAAGTTATGCCAAAACTAAGTCAAAATCGTGTTTTACAAACGGCGTGACAGGTTGTAACAATTGTAATAGATGTTATTAGTGCCGTGTCACAGCCGGCATCAATCGTATCGAATCGGATCCAAACAATGAAACATGACCCCACTATTCAAACATCAGACGTGATAATTTCAGATATGATTAGCGCAGTTTGGAATAAGAATCGGTGTAAGAAAAAGTGTTTTTAACCATGAACGTCCCTGTGTGATTGAACTCCATTTTATCCTCGTGTTTTTCCGGTCAGTTGATGCAGTTTCAGAAGGGAGCAGGGAAGGAGAGACACGACACCTTACCTATCTTTTAGGACAGTGAAATAGTGAAATTTGGATGATTGACAGGGGGGGGGAGTTAATGTGATGTTACGTTTCATTCTTTGGATCCAATTCGATACAAGTGACACTGACTGTGACGTGGCACTTATAGTGTCTATAATAAATCACTCTGGGTGATTTTAATTCATAGGTTGGCTGTCTTTTTGGGCCCTAAAAGCTCCATGTCCTTACCTCAAAATTACCAACATATCGATTTCTCTCTATAACACATCACTCCGGATGATTTCACTTCATAGGTTGGCTGCCTTTTTGGGCCCTAAAAGCTCCATGATCCAACCTCAAAATTACCGTCATCCTCTTCCTATGTAGGTACTCAATGGAGATGTTGCATGTGTGAGGAATTTGCGATTTGACTGTTGATTCTTATGCAAAAGTTCGCGAAAAACACAATGGTGCCACTAGTTTTCTCTGAACTCAACTCCCAAGCTCAAAAAAAGCTCTCAAGTTGAGGCAAAAATGGAGGGGATATCCCACGCTATCCTGAGAGTCCACCCTCTACACCAAGACAAGCTCTCCATGCAAAGATAGGGAGCAAACACATTGACAGGGCTGGCGCTTTATTTGGGGACTCTAAAACTGAAAACACGGCATCACTACTAATGCATTTGCTCCCTATCTTTGCATGGAAAGTTTGTTTTGATGTAGAGTTGGACTCTCAGGATAGCGTGAAATATCCCCTCCATTTTGGCCTCAACTTGAGAGCTTTTTTTGAGCTTGGGAGTTGATTACAGAGAAAACCAGTGGCACCGTCGTGTTTCTCGCAAACTTTTACCTAAGAATCGATTGTCAAATCGCAAATCCCTCACACATACAAAATCTCCATTACTACATAATGATTGTCGGCGCTACAGATACGTCAAAATGTAAGCACGTGAATGGATTTTTTGATGTTTCAGCTGTCGGCGGAGTACGACTTCGTGATCATCGGTGGGGGCTCGGCCGGCGGGGTGCTGGCCAACCGGCTCTCCGAGGTCGGGAACTGGACGGTGCTGCTCCTGGAGGCGGGCGGTCCGGAGACGCCCCAGGCCCAGATCCCACTTCTGGCAGGGAGTCTCCGGGACTCGGCCCTCGACTGGCAGTTCCACACCGCGCCACCCTCCGCCGGGCAGGGATACTGCCTGGCCATGAACGACGGCGTCTGCAAGTGGCCACGCGGCCGCGTCGTTGGCGGTTCCAGCGTCATCAACTTCATGCTCTACATCCGCGGCAACCCCAGCGACTACGATTATTGGCAGCACCTCGGCAACCACGGCTGGGGCTACGAGCAGGTAATTGAAAACTGGAGGGTCCTTTACTCCTCTCTCTCATTCGTAACGTAGATCCCTATCCTTTAACACGTAAAAGTGAAATAACGTAACGTAACCCATATTTGCCAAAATGTGACTAGGAGCGCTTCTGTTAGATTCAGTCTTAACGTCAACGGTCAACGTCGTCAGATCAAGAATAATGCAACGCCCCTTGGGAGGAAGGGAGGGGTTTGAGCTAGCGCTTCGGTGCGTTACAAGAGCGGGGGGGGGGGGGGGGGGGCAGCGTTACGGAACAAATCCGAGCCGGAAGAAAAAAAAAAACTTTGAAAAAAAAGTGCAGAAATTGAAGATTTTTTGGAAATGGGGGGAGGGGGGGTTCAGGCCAGCGTTACGTAATTCAAAAGAAAGGCGTAAGGCTGCATTACAGGTGCATTACAAGGGGGAGGGGGGAGATCAAACATAGGAAAAAGTACCTTACGTAATACTTAAACGGTCACCACGACCAGCCATTCTATACCATCGGGTATCCCGAGAAACATAAATTGCTGGACAGGCTAAAACCTGCAACCATTCTCTGTTGTCCGCTCTGTACAGAGCCTCAAAATTTGAAATTCCACAATTTTCTTTCTGTTACCAGGTCAAAAAATACTTCCTCAAATCAGAGGACAACTCGAACCCCGAGCTCCTGAAAACACCTTATCACGAGGCCGGCGGGTACTTGAGCGTCCAAGACGCCCCCTTCATCTCTCAACTAGCCGAAGTCTTCCTGGAGGCCGGGCGACATCTGGGCTACGGCGTCGTCGACATCAACGGGCGGAACCAGACGGGGTTCGCCGTTCCGCAGGGCACCATCCGCAACGGCTCGCGGTGCAGCGTGGCCAAGGCGTTCCTCCTCCCCGTCCGAGGGCGCCCCAATCTGAGCGTCTCCATGAACAGCCGCGTGACGAGAATCGGCTTCGACCACCGGGAATCGACGCCGCGGGCCAGGTCCGTGTTCTTCGTCAAGGACAACAAAAAGCACCTGGTTAAGAGCAGGAAGGAGATAGTTCTCAGCGCAGGGACGATCGGGTCCCCGCAGATCCTTATGCTGTCTGGCGTTGGCCCCAGGGAGCACCTTAAAGGGCTCGGGATCAAGATGGTCAAGGACCTCCCGGTTGGCGACAACCTACAGGTACACACTGAAAGGAAAGTATCACAATCTCAACTATACACTGGAAAAAAAAACAAATTGGATCTAGAGTCCAGACTCTTAAAAAACATCGACAAGAAAAAGTACTCTTGATTCAATCAGAATCTAGCTTGAATCAAGAACCGAGCCTCTTAATTTAAGCAAATATCCGATTGAATCGAGAGTATTTTTTCTTCTCAATGTTTTCAAGAGTCTGGACTAGCTAGATCCAATGTGTTTCTTTTTCCAGTGTACTAAAAGCTGATTTTGGCGCCAGCCGTAAGAGTAGTTGAACTTGCTAGAAGTGTAAAGGCACCAGCTAGTGGTACAGTCAATGGAGAATGTGCATGAAAATGGTTAATGGCTTCATCTGAATGTGCTTAAAGAGCTGATTTCACAGTATTTTTTAATAACTTTTTTCTGATATGGAAAATAGTATGAAAATCGATTCAAAAGTGAGAAAATGCACCACCGAGTGACGTCATCTGGCGGCATTTCCCATTTAAACACATGTACCTCAGCAGATTAGATCATTTTGTCATATTCTCTCCAATAATTGTTCAATTCATGAGTCAACGATATCCTCGTGTTCAGTTAACTCAGTAGTTTCTACTTGAACACAAAATTCATCAAATTTCTGACACCTGCAAATTCTCTATCCAACAACACTTATGCTGACTGTGAGTGCAGCAGCTGGAGGTATGATTGATCCGACCTCAGTTTTAGCTGACTTAACCATACCTCTGGCTTGTGCGACTACTCTAATATCTGGCGCCAAAATCAGATAGGAGTATAGTTGGTATTGTGATACTTTTTTCTGTGCAGGTTACAGATTCTATGTCCTTTTAACGACACCTTGCAATGAGGAACTACTAGCAGCACAATGAGTCCTTTTGATGGTCGTCATTTTAACAGGTCTATTCCTTATGAGGCCTAATTTGGCTGACAGTTCGATTAAATGAGGTTCAAAGACACATTGGAAGTATAAAATAATAATTTTGACAAAATTTGATTGAAATAAAACAAATTAGTTTCGAAAATTATTGATCCTCTCATTAATTAAAATGATTCGCTGCTGTAATAAGTATAAGACTAGATAACATGATTTCTTTAAATCTTTTTTGATTTTTCCAATCCGTTACCAAAGTGTCTACTTAAATTTCTAGCCATGAAGTTGGCTTGTTTCTCCTCTAAAAATGAAATAGGACCGGAAAGTTTGGAACACCGCAATGAATATTCGTGGTTTCGCACTTTAGCCATCAATACTTGAGTGAGTAAATTTATAAAAATGAACGAGCGTTAGTGCCTTCAAGACTGCATGGATACCTCTCGCATTGCGCGTATACCACAGAGGATACTTCACGCATTGCGCGTACATCACGGTTCGTACGCGTAATGCGTGTAGTAATTGTAGTATCTATGCAGTCTTGTAAGCGCTAACTCGTTTTGCGCTGGCCGCACTGTTGAGTTTGGCTCTCACATTTGAACTCGCGGAGTCAGCGTTTTTCATCTCATGATGTTGAAGTGTGATTCTCAACTGTGAATAGGGGGAATGAATCGGGGGATGTAACACGGAAAATTTACATGATGGTTTTTTCATGGAAATAACATTTGTTCCGTGTAGAAACAGAAATCATTTAAATGTTTAGACTTTCTTGCAAGATGAAATAATCCCTACAATTTTACAATCAGTAGTAACGCAATACCAGAAATTCTTCATTTAAAAAAATGTCCTTTCAATATTAATTTTATAACTTTTTAAAATTAAATGTATTATTTATTCAGTTTTCAGTGACTTCGTAACATATATCGCTAAAAAAACGAGACCACGAGATACGTGGTTGCGACGTGGTAGACTTCCATTCTTACTTTATTTCCATGGAAAAAGAGTCAACAAAACATTTCTAAAACTTCTGTGATTTTTCCTTTCTATTAGTTGAATATTCCGTATGAATTACAAGCTATAAAGTTGACTTGTTCCTCTTCAAAAAGATAACCTAGCTAGATTTTGAAACATCGCAATGGAGATACTTGGTACCACTTTTTAGCTATCGATAAGTGATCGCAATTTATTTTTTGACAACCCACAGGACCACCTAAGCGTGGGCTCTCTGACCTTCAGGATGGACCAACCGATCACCTTGAAGCCAACAGACACGCAGACTCCTGACAGCGTGCTGCAGTACATCCTCGAAGCCGACGGACCTCTCACATCACTGGGTGGCGTGGAGGGTCTCGCCTTCATCAACACCAAGTTCGCGGATCCTTCGGGAGATTTCCCCGACATCCAATTCCACTTCACCCCACTGAGCATGTACAACTCAAACAATCATCCCCTGGGCCAAGCCTTCAACCTGCGACCAGACTTGTTCAACAACACCCCATACGCGAGCCTCCAAGACGAGAACCTCTTCTCCATCCTCCCCTTGCTTTTGCGTCCCCTGAGTCGCGGCTCAGTTCGGCTGCGAAGTCGCGACCCCTTCGATCATCCCCTCATAGACCCCAACTACCTGGCTGAGCGGGAGGACGCGGATGTGCTCGTCGAAGGGATGAAGGCTGCCCTCCGGTTGGTCGAGACGCCGCCCTTCAAGGCCTTGAACGCGACGCCACTGCCTTGGCCTTTTCCGGGGTGCGATTCGCACGATATTTTTTCGGACGAGTACCTGGAGTGCACGATCAGGCATTTCACGATGACGTTCTATCACCCGACGTCGACGTGTGCCATGGGGGTGGTGGTTGACCCGAGGTTGAGGGTGTTGGGGCTGCGAGGGTTGCGCGTTGTCGATGCCAGTGTCATGCCGACGGTGCCCAGTGGAAACACGAATGCCCCGACGATCATGGTCGCCGAGAAGGGGGCTGACATGATTAAGGAGGATTGGAGCTCGTGAGGTGGAACCAAACGTTTTTGGAGACCAGTGGCGTGGCATGCTTTGCGATATATCGCTTGATCTGCCATTAAAACCTATAGAAAATGATCGCTCAACAGGATGTTGGCGACGAGAATTTTAATAATCGATTCTTTGCCGAAGCCTTAAATGGGGAAATATCGATAGTCGATAATTCACACCTCGCCACTGATGAAGACCTCATCATGTATCTTTTCGGAGTGCAGCTAAAAAACCACGTGCGATTAAAAATAAATTTAGTAAGTTGTAACAGCGATGCCAAGACTGGCGGGCCCTTCGTTTGTCAAAAGACCTGAGTTAAAAAAGAAAAATAATGATCCAAGCTGAGCGTTCGGTGACCCAGTCTGATTGAAAGATTCGGTTTGTCAACACAAAATTTCGATTCGCCGAGTCAAAATTTTGGTTCAGGAGATTGAAACTCTTCGATTGAATCTGAACTTCAACTTTCCAAGTTTCCCAAAATCCAAGTTTTTTGTCCTCACGAAATGAAATTTCGGTTTCACGAACCAAGTAGGGTTATAGGACATTTGGACAGAGTTCATCAAAAAGTAACCGACCCACTGACGCTTGGACCAAGTCACAGTTGCTTATTTTACGCGTCGACTTAAACTACTGTGAAAAACTCTCTCATGAAGTTCAAACAATTTTCCAGCATAACACGGAAAAACATGTTGTGTCCGGTTGATATTATGGATTTTAGAGAAGTGTAAGCGCGCGAGTGCAAAACTTTGTCGTAAGTGTTCATATTTCTATTGGTGCTTGTAAACTGTATATTCTGATTCAACACTGTATAGAATAAAACTAACTTTTTTTCACCTTGAAAACTGGCACTTCTATTTTTCTCTTTGAAGGAGCACAGGAGGGCGTTCAGGAGAACTTTCACCCTCTTCTCCGTCGTTAAAAGAGTGAGTGAAGCAGAAAAAGGAGAGAAGGAAATGAATATTAAGTAGAGCAGACGTGTTGCACGATAAAGAAACTAAACAAACAGGGCTTGCAATAGTCCGCCTCGACTCGAGCAACAGGTGACACTTGGCCTACTTCTCGAGACTTCGCACTTCGTGTGGTTAGAGGTGTGCGGAATATTTTTCTCGGCCTCGTCTATCCTATGGATCGTATTCGATTATGGTTCGAGGTATCATTTGATTCAAAACAATAGAACATATCCTCAAACAAAAATTATAGGATTCAAGTTGGGAAAGCTGAAAATGAGAAAATTCCCGACAATTTCACTTTTCATCCCCATATTGTACTCATGAGAACAAAAAATCAAAAAACCTCGTTCCCTCAGATTGCTCAATTGACTTTTGAGGCTAGTTTTATGTTAGGATACATGTTGAACCAATCGATATCGATACAATCTCGCATCAGTTTGATGTATCGAATACGATTTATTATAAACTGGAAGTAGGATGTTTCCTTGGATGGTACTTAGTAGAATTTTTTTGAACGTTTTTCGCTGTGGTGAAAATTTGCTGCTTTGTTACTTGCTGGAAAATGTAGGTAAAAAATGTACGAAGAAAATTTTAAAAAGCAAGGAGCTCGCCTGGAGATCATTCCTTGCCAAAAGTTGAAAAATTGAAGAAATCGATCCAACAAAAAAAACTTTTCCCTGAATATAAATAGAACAAAAAATAGAAATTTTATCGGGCAGACAAATTAAAATAATACCGAAATCACCTAGAAGCCTTTTCCTCTTAGCAGAAACACAGCCTGGGAAATACGTAGTTCACTTATTTTTTTCATGATCTCTTCCAGATTTTTTGTCATGATTTTTCGGTTGGCAAAACATTATCTATATGCTCGAGTGATATTTTTAAGAGAGTATGAAGCCAGTATCTGAAATTCTTCCTATTTTTTGTTAGAGAAACATGTATACCGAAAAGAAATGTAGGTTTGCTACCGAACCCCAGTTAGTGATGTGCGCAAACCATACAATCATCACAAGGTGAGTTATGTGAATAAAAATCAGGCACAACAGCATGCAGCCAAAAAAATTTTATCGTCTGAATCATAACGATAATCCTAAAATTTTGCCCTAGCTGTGTGTGCTTTTGGAAAAAAAAAACTTTTTTGCACTCCTTAAAAGTAAGTCTATATTATCATGGGCTCAAATTTCTTTTCCTTCGTCTGAAACTTAACCTCAACTGCACACACAAAAAAAAGAGAGAAAAAATTGACGAGAAGGATTAACCGATCATGACTTTTCTGAGCCCTGTTATTCCTCCAAACCTACATCTTGCTTCATTGAATTACGATCACATGCTTGAGTCACTCACACAGAGGGGTTGACTAAATTTATGCGGTGGATCCAGAGTAATTCTATGCTTGGAAACTCCTACCAGCATTCATACCTGCTGCCGTAGGGCTGGCTTACCTCATGTTCACGTTTCTTCAGCATTATTATTTTGAATTTATTTTCCCCCGACTCATTTTTTATTTATCTCCGTCATGTGCGCCCATTTCAGCGATGGGTTTGCCTTACTTTTATTTTATTTGTGTACGTTTGAGCATTTTTGGCTGTCGTTCTCCTCTGGCTTAAATATTTCAAACATTACAGTTTGATCTCCTGAGAATTCCAGGCTTCTTATTCTCATTTTCTTCTTATGTCTGTTTAGGGAGAACAAACAGATAAACGATTTATAAAATAGCCTCTCAACGCTAGATGTTTACATTTTGTCACAGGAAGAAACGTACGAGTATACGTGAAAAAATAAAAATGAAACACAATTTTTTAAAATATTTTTTTCCTCCGCTTAACGACCAAAGGTAGCACACCATGAGTCGCGTGGGTTGGACTGCTTATGATAGGGGCGATGGAAGTTATTCTTCAATTTCTATTTTCCCAGCGAAAAAACACAAACAATTTTTTCCTCACTAATTTCCTCCATTTATCGTATTTTGAAGGTTATTTCATTGCCATGAGGTTATTCACATTCCATCGCAATCAAAGGGTGTAGCATTTTATGATTTNGGGGGGGGGGGGGGGGGGGTTGTTTTGAGCATACTCATGATACGTTGGTTGAGAGGATAGAGTAAAATTATGAAAGATAACCCTACAAGTGTACCCATGGAGCTGCAGTTTCAATAGCAGGACACGTTCGTCATGCCTGGAGACTGGCGAGGTGGATCACATGGCATCTCCTGACTTTTAATTAGGTGTCAGGTGGAGTGGACGTTTGGCTTGATATTGTTGAAATACACTTTCGCAGATTTTTAAAAGCTCTCATAAAATATTTCATCGAATGACCTTTGATGAGCTATCATTTTTTCACGATTCATCCAACGCATTGACCAATTTTTCCAGGTACTCGTAATGTCGAAAAATTCCACTTTTTTATCGGAGGACCTTTTTAGATCATGATGCGCAATACTTCAAGTGCTTTTTCCTACGGCTTTAATTTCAGAAGCGTAGTCTGAAACCTATTGCGAAAAAATATCTAACATGCGCGTTCCTACGTAAGGCATTTTTTGTGGGTGCAGGTGCAATATGTGTATGCTGGATGCGAAAAAATGAGGTCGTCGTACACTCTCTCGGCAGCGCTGATCCTCTACCCTCAAATTCAGTGAGTGAAACATGGGAGGCCTTTTTCGCAATTTTCGAACGTATATTCGACCATTTTTTAAAAAATCAAAGTAAGGAAATTTTATAATACAGCTTGTGCTCCAATTATTGCTCATCGCTCTCCCTATGTGACAAATCTTGAGAGGAAACCTCCTGGGCACCTCTAAAAGCACGTAATGTGCATTTTTCGCGCGCAGAATCGCACTGGGAAAAAAAACAAATTGGATCTAAAGTCCAGACTCTTAAAAACATCGACAAGAAAAAGTACTCTTAATTCTATCAGAATCTAGCTTAAATCAAGAACCAAGCCTCTTAATTTAAGCGGATTTCGTTTTGATTCAAGCAAAAATCCGATTGAATCCAGAGTATTTTTTCTTGTAAATTTTTCCAAGAGTCTGGACTCTAGATCCGATGTGTTTTTTTTTTCCAGTGCGTATTAAGGATGTAGGACTTATACCAACCTAAAAGTCAGGAGATGTCATTTAATCTACCTCTCCAAGCATGAGGGGCCGTTCAAGTATCGCGTAACGCTCTTTTTTCGGTTTTCACCCCCTGCATCCTTGTAACGCACCCGTAACGCAGCCCTACACCCCCAATTGAAGTACCTAACGCTGGCCTAATCCCCCCTAATTTTCAAAAATGTTTAATTTTTTGCAAGTTTAATTCCACGTTCGATTCTACCAGCTCGGATTTGTTAGGTAGCGCTGGGCTTGACCCTATCCCTCTCCCCTTGTAACGCACCGTAACGCTGGCTCAACCCCCCTCCCCCCTACCTCCTCAAAGTGCGTTACGTAATACTCGAACGGCCCTAAAGCACATAACCGTTTTTTCCGTACAATTAATCCCTTGAACAATAAGGAAAGTAATTTTGGACTCAAGCTTTTTCGTCTAAGGCATAAAACACATTATTAACCACATCAAAACTACCTGAAGTTCTCTGAGAATTTTATCGCACATGGGTTATCAAGAGGGTACTGTTCCTGTTACTTCTTTCAGAATGACCGCGGGAGTTTTGCTCTTTTTGATTGCGTACCTCATCATCGCTTCGAGATACCGTAACACGTACTAGATAATCGAGGGACATTCCTGCAAGAGCCATCAAAAGCTGAAATAAACTCCTCGGAACAAGTTTATCATGTCAAACAGAACGTTCCATAATAATTCCCTTTTTCCTTATTCTTTAAGGAGGGGAAGCATGAGCGATGATGCGCCTTCAACGAGGTATTAAACCCCGTACTAGTATCTTCCCTCGCGGACGTTGACCCTAACATCGTAGCTGCGTTTCGAGATGAACCCTCTCGCTGGTTGAATTGCATACCTCCCAGGGGTCAAAAGAGAATAAAGCTGCGTCTTCACGGAATCTCGCGTGGATCCGAAAGTTGGAGTTCTCCGTTGAATAATGCATCTCCACCGCCAGGTTCTTTTCTGCTCCCGCGGTCCGCACCGACTGCGTTATGAAATTCATTTAACAAGTGCGACCCACAAAGAGGGCAGGACAGTCCCACGCTCGGTGGCGTGTTGTGCTTTGAAATGTATCGATTGATCTGCCATTTTAAACTATGGAAAAGGATCGAACATCAGGGAGTTCGCAAGAAGCACCTGTATAATCGATTCTTCACCACGGTCTCAAATGGGGAAATATCGATGAACACTTTGCTACTTCTCACGCTTTCCTGGAGGAAAGCGTGAGAAGTAGCAAAGTATAGTAGTAAGTA